TGCATTTCTTTTACTTCCCTCTTTAGGGACTCAATTTCCTTCTTCTGATCATTGTTTTCCTTTATGACTTCTGTCACTTTTTTAATCATGGCAATTTTAAATTCTCTTTCTGGAAGGCTCAGAAATTCTTCCTAGTTACTGTCGTTGCAATCTGGGGGTGGTTTTCTTTTTGTGGTGTGCTTCTTTCCTGAGGAGTTGTTAGGTTGCGTGTGGTTCTTCTACTCCCTACTGTCTGTTTTCTAATTTGTCGTATGCATTGGGACACTGTGTTGCTCGGACTGGCCGGCATCTTGGGTGAGCTTCTCCGCTCCCCTCTGGCTCCTCCAGGAGCCATCTCTGGCTTCTGAGGGAGCTTTCTGCTGGTTTTAGGCTGTCTTTACTGAAGAAATGTCCCTGATCTAAAATGGTGAAGCGGGACACAGTCCCTGTGCATCCGGTCTCAGGCACACTCTTCTGCGTGCCCGGTCTGCCCTGGATGTGGTTGCCTGCTCCCTCTGTGGGCTCAGACTGCTGTTTGGAAGGGTCTGGCATGGGCTAACTTCCAAGGGGCCACTGGGTCCTCCAGAAGCCTTCTGCCCATTTCAAGCAGCCTTTTCTTAAGAAATTTCCCTGTTCTATGGGGTGTTAGTGACTTTTTTTTCTGGTCGCTATGTGGTGCCAGAGATCTCTCCAATTGTCCTTGGGGGGCTGCTTTTCGATGCCCCCCCCCCGTGGGACAGGGAACAGAGTGAGAATGGTAGGGTAAACCTCAACGGCTTTGGGGTGCTGTGTCTGCCTTGTGCCCCACCGTCGTGGAGAACCCATGCCCCGAATTTCGTGCCCCGGGTCTCAGTTCCACAGCCCTCAGGTCCAGGACGCGGGCTGTAGCCCAGTTCAGTGGCGTGGGAATGGCGCCTTTTGCACCCTGCTCCCGTGACTGGGCACCTGGTTCCTGCTGACTCAGTGCAGGACTTTCACCCCAGTGAGGGCCTCCGCGTGTCTCCCCACAAGCCTAGGTCTCAGGCGCGGGGACCTGGGCAGCCGTGATCCCGATCAGCGTTTGCTTTTCAAGCGCTCCAAGCGCGCTGATTTTCAGCCCAAGCTTACTGGCCGCCAGGGGCTGTGTGCAGGTCTCCTCCAGAGTCTCTTTGTTCTCTAATGGCTACCGGAGCCGTTCGCTCACCGCCTTGGCGAATCCTGCAGGGTTCTCCACAGCTCCCGTTCATGGGGTGTGGTGGCCGCAATAGTTCCTTTTCACTCACAGTCCCGCTTGCTGCGTAGTTTGTTCTTATTGGTCGTTTTAGTTTGTTGTTTTCCTCCTCTCTGCTGGTCGGAGGGTGCAGACTCTGTGGGTTGGGGAGGAGAGCAGGGTTCTGTGCTTTCCTCCCTTCTAGTCCTCTTTTATGGCAACTTTCTTCTTCAGGCAGTTTTCTGGAGTCGCCTGTTTATCTTCCGTGTCCCAGTTCTCACTGGGTCCTGCCGCTTTTCCTCCCTATTAACTTTATTTAATGGGAGATCTTACTTGCAGCGTCTCCTCGCCGCCATGTTGCTCCGCCCCCCTAAATTAATAGTATTTTAAACAAAGTTTATAAATAAGGTTTTAATGTTATTTTAGATCCAGAGGAGATTAAATATGATCCAAAATCCAAAAGTACAAAAATAAAAACCATATACCTTGGAAAGTATTTCCAACAGCTCTTATACAAAAATTACTTTTTACATGATAGTTTCTTCATATATCAATAAAGAAAAACAAGGAAGTGAAATTATGGAGAAATGGTCTTATTAGTTAACTTAAAGAAAGAAAAAAATGAACATTAATGTAAAATACTTCAGAAGATTTAAAGTTTGAAGTTTTAGAATTTCAGAAGAGAGGACAGTTAACCTATTGGATTTGTGAAAGACTTTTTCACTTACATTGCTATGTAAATTTGCATTTGCCTTGGGGAAATAATGTTTATGAAGAAAAGTTAGTAAAATTGATAATGAATTTGTGTCATTAAATGTTAGCCTGATTTTTAAAATTTATTTTCCCCTGCCTCCCCTGCACATTTTTCCTCACTGTTTTGAACTGCAAATAATTTATGTGGTGCTTAAAAATATGTGAATCATTTTAGTCATATAGGTGATGGCAAGTTCTCTAAAGCTAGTCATTACTGACTTTGCCCATGAACCACTTAGTTGGTAACTATGCAGATAACTTAGGAATTATAACTTAAGTTTGTTGACAGTTTTTGAGTTTGCTTACGTCAGTAAGAAATGAAATACACAATTCTGCCATTTTAATGATAGCAGAAACATATTTCTGGAGTATGTCCAAATTTAACATAATAATCAGAAACAGATCAACATTATTACCAATCATACACAAAAATAATATCTCTTACTTGTATTCAAATGTACTATAATGAGTCATTTTTAGAGTAACTATAGGTATTGTCTGGAATGGAAATTTTATGTGACACATGGGAGAGCTCTGCTTTGTTTTTTCCCACTTTGATTAATACATTAATATGGGAAAAACTTTTTCTTTTCTAGTAGCTATTTGTTTATAACAAAATATTTCCACCACACAGGATACATTTGTATAATATCCAAAGTACACAATCTCCTACACACTGTAAGACACTGTATTAGCAACAAAAGAAATTAGTAAAATAGACTCCTTGGTTTATTCTTGGTGCCTCTTCTCCCCCAAGGTTTTGGTCATAAGGAGGGCTAAGACCCCTATCTTTGAAAATTATTTTATTTTTGTAAAATACAGTTTTTTTTTTTCTTGGGAGTTTCCTGTTTTCTTTTTTTTTCCTTTTCTCCTGGGTATCATAGGTAATGTTAGGACAGAGAACAAGCATATATTTCCTCAAGCTTGCACTGATTTAAAGGATGTTAGGTATTATTTTATGTCCTGTATTTCAGTAGAATCAGTCATGCATTTAAAGGCATCTCCTTTATCAAAAATGAAAAGAAAATAAAAATGTCAGTTTCTATAATCACTTAACCAAAACACTGTTAGGAAATTGTTCAGTGTCATAAAATTATAACAAAGATATTATGATGGAAAACATAATGCTTTGAAAAAACCTTGACAAGACTATGTACTTGAGATTGGAAAATACATTCAACTGTGAGCCATTTCAATGAATTTGTTTCTTACAGTAATAAAACAACTTCCCACAAAACCTGTGAGTCAAAATGTTTGGTTTGGTACTTTAGATTATTAACACATTGTTTTACAAAGTTAAAGAAATAAAAACAACTCCAGAGCAATTATTAGAAATAAAAATATGCAGAACCACAGACTTCCAGCACATTTTGTATACTGAAGAAAGATGAAATGTGATATGTCGTTTTCTTTTCCTTTCTCAGTTGTGATATAGAAAGAGGTTTATGGGCTAATGCCAAAACTAATCTTTGCATGAAATGGGTTAGCTTCACTCCCAGGAACCACACTTTTGAGAATTAAGAAAACAGTCAAAAAAATTGTTTCTTGTGTTTAATGAGTCAGATGAGATCAAGTGTGCACACACATACCATGTAACAAATATGCAATATGACAGAGAAGGTGCACATTCCACACCCATGTGTCACATGTATACATATATGCATACACCTGAACATAAAGGTATTCATGCATACTTACATATATGTGTGCATCCATACATATACTTTTTCTACATGCATAGGTACATATATTTAATAGAACTTGGAAACAGAACAGTCATTAAGTAAAAATATTTGTATGATGATAGTTTGGGGTCCTAAAAGAAGTGCAACGGTGGCTTTAAACAGATTAAGAGAGTGTATAGAGAAAGTAAATGAGAAGTTCTCTCAGGACAACATTTGTGTTTGGTACTAACTAGCTAATAGCATATTGCTTTCAAACAGCTTAAAATTCCTTCAACAAATGGTGAATTATAAAGTCTGTTGGATCATTGACTGAAGCTAAGATTTATCCATAAAACAGACACTCTTTATGGCATCAGCTCAAAAACATACTGCATATTGCTTTTTCTGCCAGAGCACTAGGTAAGTATAAGTGGGGAGTTGTGTCTTTGGTGCCGTGCATGGGGTGTCAGATAACAGCTTCCAATATTGTTTTTGGAATTGTGTTGTTGAGCCTTTTTCAGTGACGCATTTAGTAAACAAGTTTGGAACAGTTGAGTTGGGGATATTGCGACTGTCTGTGTAACTGTGTATAATGTGCCAGTGTGCAAAAACACTTCTCTTTTCCTTATTGGCCATACAGAAAAAAATTGCACAAAACAACTATTTTGCAATACATTATAACTAAACCCGCTAGCATTTGACTCAATTAGCTGAGTTTCCTTACAAATGAGTTTCCTTATATATTAATTTAAATATGAAAGAAATTTTGGGATTATTCAATAGGAAAAAAATCTATAATTTTTATTCACCAGAGTTACCTTTCCCAAACCTTTCAAAACTGTGTAAAGGTGATGTTTTTGTAACTTGTTTTACTGTTCAAAAATCAATTTACTTCTGCCACCTTTTATTTTTCTCCCTGGATATTTTAGAAGTAATTTTTGGACCATTTGATAGCACTATAATAAGAGCCTTACTTCCTATGTAGTAATTGACTCTTGGGTTGACAGTTCAACAAATATACAGTGAGAGTTCTCTGTGTGCCAAAAGCTACAATATTGGTGTTTTCAAGAAAAATTGCTTAAGCCTGAGTGTATGTAATTCCCCATCAGTTTATTTAGAAATATATTTCTTTGTTACTGTGACGACATCAATAACTTTCCTTTATCCTTGGACTTACAATGCTTTTTTAGGGGTATTTTAGAGTAATTTAATTAATATAAATTCTTGAAAAGTCTTTTCTGACAAATATTATAATATAGTATTTTAAATATAAAATTAAAAATTCCTAAATTTAGTGAACCAGGTCACTGACTGTGAAAAGCACTTAAATCTACTAGATTAAATGTTTGCATTAATTAAATGTTTGCAGAATCTGTTTCTCATTTTTAATTGATGCTTGTTTTTGTTTTTTTCAGTCTCCTGAACAACAACCGAATCAGAAAGATTTCCAGAAATGCTTTTGAAGGACTTGAAAATTTGCTGTATCTGTAAGTTGCAAGAAATATCAAAATTAACTTATGGTGTGGATAGGTTAGTTTTGTCTCACTGCTTGCTTTAACTAACATAATTCTTTATTTTCTTGAATAGCACTGTTAACCTTTATAGAAAACTCATGAACATTTCTAAGTGAAGTGAATTGTTTTCAACATATTACTCATCTGAAAACACTTAAATATTTATGCACATTTCTATCTTTCCCATCCTACCAAAAAAAATCTAAGTTGGAAAAAAAAAAACAAAACAATTTGTGCAATGTTTATATTCTAATCACTCTAACTAATTGATATGTAAAAAAATTGTAAGAGTTAAGAGAAGATTTATATCAGCAACAACTCAACCATTCAAAACCTGCTGAAGTCAGTATGAACATATTGCAATTAGGAATTTTAATGAAATTGGATAAGAACCAAATTTCAGAAAAGTTAACTCAAAAATGTGACTTTGACAATTGTGGTGCTAATTTGGATATTATAGGTCAATGAAAATAAAGGTTTTTTTTTTTAAGACTATTGCCTCTTTTGATTCAGAAATCAATCATGTTGATAAATTGAAATTTGAGAGATATGACAGATAGGTATGTTTATGTGGAAGACGGAAGCTGGAAAGACATTTATTTCAATTTCAACTTTCTTACAAAGTAACGTTAAAGAGGTAGCTAACACTTTTACACAGATATGTCAAGTTGATTAAACACTCCATTTATAAATGTTTATTTTATTTACTTTTTAATTGAAGTGACATTTGGATCCCACCCATCAGGTATTGCCACCATAGCATACCCACCACCAAATCGTTCATCGTCTACCACCATAGTCCTCTGAATTACACACTGATTAAAAAGTTGAAGTTATTCTTATAACTTATAACTTTAGCACCTTCCTAAAGCATGAAAATTCATATTACATCCCAGTTGAAGTTTGCCAGTCTCTTGTGTGAAATTGAGTACCCCAGCCCCATGTCCAACTACAAAATCTTTTTAAACAACTGACCACAAATTATTGCTCCCTTCTTAAAATCAGTCACTTTTATTTGCTCTCCTAATTATTAATGACTAATCTAACATGCCCAACAGGTGCAAATCATGTTTGGTTTCGACATGTTAAATATTAATAAGAATCCTTCACGTTTCTAGCTTGGTGGTGTAAGAAGTTTGTTTCTCATTAATGGAGGAGTTTCACCTCCCTGGTTTATTGCAGTTCTGTGGATCTTTACTCATTGATAGATACATAAAGAATAAATACCTCAAAGTAAAACAAAAAAAATTAACAGTTTGAAACCAAGAAACATCATTAGGCGAATAAATCTAATAAAATTACAGTTACTAGCAAGAAATTAATTTTAGATAAAATAGAAGTTCAATGTTGCTGTGACTTGGATATATTATATACCCAAATGTATTGTGTGCTAGGGGTAATAGTAAAGCAATTCACAAAACTTCTAATCAGTACTCCAGCCAGTTCAGATACTGCTTACTAAGTAAAAGATACAAATCCTTTCAGTAAGATGTGTACTTTAGGAAAAGGGAAGGATAATTTATAAATGTTTTATTACACAATAGGTGGTTAATGTGTTCATGTGAACATTGAAGTAAATCTTTCCATGTTTTCATTACCATTGCCCATAAGGATTGCCACTTGAAATAGAGAAGTTTATAGGAATAACAAGGGCTGTGGGCTCAAGGATCAATATAATATAGACAATATCTGCCTGGACTAGACAAAAATGGATTTGTAAGGCTTAGAAGAAAATGTCAGGTTTTAAGGCAATTAAAGTTTTGCCTAACTTTGACTTTGTGTCAATAATACAACTAAGATTAAGGTAGTCATATGTTATTTTGTGAGTCATTCCAACAGAGTATACATGAGTTCTTTCTGGAGGCTCTTTGCACATACTCTGCAATATGCTGTCATTCTTAAATTTGGCAGTCTATGAAGATGTTGAGGTATTTTCCTGAAGTAATTAAAAACCTATCATTTTCAGTGTAACACAATTTAATTCAGTATTATTTGAGCACAATATTTTAACAATTTTCCAAGTTTCTGGGCTATGCGATAATTATGATCCAATCCACTATATAAGTTTTTTGTCCCTTGATTAATAGTTTTAAGTGACTTTTTGAATAAATTGTTTTCTTTCTGTTATATTGATCCAATACTTTAAAATGTTTAATAAGAAACCCTGGTGGAAAGAAATTCTTCTGTTGCCTTTTGCTTTTTAGATTCTCTGTCAATGGTCAGTGTCACCCCATATACTTCAGTTGCATGGAAACCCACATCTTCTCTTTAGAAGAATAACTTCAACTTTTTCAACAGCATGTAACACGGAGGACGATGCTTGTGGAAGATGATTTGGTGATTGGTGATTTGGTGATTTTGTGGTGGGTGATTAGTGATTGGCGATGGGTGATTTGGTGGTGGGAGCGCTACAGTATCAATACTTGATGGGTGGGATCCTAATGTTACTTCAATTAAAAAAGTATAATAAAATAAACTAATTTATAAATCCAAGAAACATCCATTCAAACATGTTTGAATCTTCTTTCATCATGCTGAATGTTACTTGAGAGACCATTAATTAATCTCCCCCAATTTAGAGAGTAATTCTCAAATTTACAGCATTGCATGAGCATTTTATGGGATAATCAAGATTCATTTTTGGGGAGTAAGTTTTTCTGGCTTACTTCACATAATGCAATTGCAGATGCAGATTTGCTTTTATTTTTGTGACAAAGGGCCAGTTGCAAGTGATACTTTCATAAATATTATTTGGTGCCCTTGATGTTTTGTGATTTCCAGTAATAATTAGATAATAATTTAAATTTATTTTTCCTTTTACAAAATATTTAGGTTCTAAATCAATTTGAACACATACAAATACATGATTTATTTATAAAATTGTCATTTTAAGTTATCTCCAAATTTTTCAAAATATTAAGTAGCTAATATATGCCATATGAGTAGGTACTGATATGTAAAGATGAAGGATAAATACACACATACCTATCAGATAATGTGGAAGTTTCTTTTATGGAAGTACGTACAAGGTATGGTAATGGCAGCACAGAAGGAAAACTGATTCAGCTTCACAGTTTGAAGTTATGCTTCAAATAAGTATTCTTACTACTATTATTATGAGATTATTGAATCATTAACTAAAGCTTAGAATTATCAGTTAACACTGACATTATCTCTGCTATGACATCAGATTAAATGCATACTGTAGTATTAGATCTGTCTTGCTTCCCACCCCATCACCAGAAAAAAACAACTCACCACAAATATAAAAAGACAATATGCACAAAGCATTCATGTGGGACACATTGACTTTGGAGATGGCAACCATTGCTTGTAACAGTGTATGTCAGAAAAAGGATAGAGTAAGTGGGAACTAGAAGGTATGGTCAGACTAGGAAGATGTTTGCAAACACGTCTATACTGTGTGTTGATGATGATGAGACACTGAGGGTATTTTCAGAGGAATGGAATGATCAGCTTGGGGCTTGGGAGATGTTAGTTTGGTAGAATGGATGCATTTGCTGGAGACAGTATAGTCTTCTGAGATGCCGTGGCATAGCCACAGACAACAACAGGTGGCACCATGGACTATGGAGACCAGGACTATGGCACCATGGACTATGGAGACTATGGAGGTCTGCTGCACCATGTGGGTCAGCTCCCTGGATGGGGATTGAGCTTATCCTGCAGTGGCTGTGGATAGCGTCACAGTGCTGAGACTTAACCCCTTGTGCCACCAGGCCCCACAAATATTTGCTCTTTTAATAGAAAATTCCCATTCCTTTCTCAATTTGTCCCACCAAAGTTCCAGTTTTATCTTCTACTGTCCTGGAAGGTTTCTTTGGCTACCCATATACTCATATTTTCTTTACATATTTCCTATTCCTCCATACATCTTCTATGACATTTGACCATTTTCTCTGAATCTGTGGATTATTTGTGGGATTTACTGTGTCACTGACATTCAATTATGCTTAGTGTTTATTTCCACTTCTCTAACTCTCTGTCCCTCTCTCTTTTATTTATATTGAAGTTTTCATGACTGCACACTTACAAATTAGGGTCTTGTTTGTATTTCTATCCAGCTTATATAAAGTATAGGACACATTTCCATGCTTGCCCCCAAAACATCCTCCTTCCAATTACTGTTTCTCTCTTACTTTTTCAAGAAAGAACATCATCTTTCTCTTAGCTGCCTGGCATCACTCTTGGGTTCTTGGGTTCCATCTTTCTCATATGCTACTGCAACACACCCTGTTCCATCTTTCTCAAATGCTACTGCAACAACCCTAAAAACTGTTTGATTGGTTCACTTTCTCCACCTCTATTATTTTGCCCTGATTTAAGCTCTCAGTATTTCCCTGCTTCACATTTCATTTTAATAAAAGTTACTTCCCATTTGGACCTATACATGCATATGTGATTTTTTGCATGCACACATGTGCATTCATCTTATGTCTTTCTTTTCTTTTTAGATTCAAATCATTGTTCTTTTACTTCTTCAAACACTGTAAGCACTCACCCTCCACTCCCATGGGCCTTCATATTTGCTGTTAATTGTTTTCCTTTTCCCTTGATTTTTCTGTTTCAGTTTTAAAATAAACACCACTACAAGTCACATTAAGCCCATAAAACTTCTCTTCTTCCTATGTCATTGTATCCTATTTATCTCATTCATTACCTATACCATAAACATTAGTATTTTTTCTCATATTTTTCTTGTTTATTTTCTGATATCTCCAATGGGTTCTGTGAAGTTAAGTGCTTTCACTACTATTGTTTACCACGTGTCCTAGCATCTAGAACCTGTATCTAGAACATAATTTGTTGACTAAGTAAGATAGGAGAAGGTGCTCAACAAATATATGATAGGAGATTAGTTAATAGTCTAAGCTATATTGAGTTCATAATTTCCTGAGAGAGGTAATAAAAACTTTAAATGTCTCAGCTTTTACAATATTAGGTCTATCGAT